AAATATGCTGATTTTAAAGGTGAGTTTCCATTAACCTTTGAAACTCAGGGTGTCTTTTTCGGCAGTACAGCCCCTGTGTGTAGACTCCATACCTTGCATACACAGGAGTACGGCTATATGATTGATCTGATCACCGCAATTAACATCACAGGTGAGTCCTGTGTAGATAAAGGTCAGGACGACCAGGTGAATTACCTTGAGGTTTGGAAGAGTAGTGGAGTAATGTGTTTGAGAGAGAGAGAGTGTGTGTGAGTGTGTGTGTGTGTGTGTGTGTGAGAGAGAGAGAGAGAGAGAGATTGTGTATGTGTGTGTGTATGTGTGTGAGAGAGAGAGGGAGAGAGAGAGAAAGAGCCTGCCTGTCTCTGTGTGTGCATATCTCTCTCCTACGATCTTGTGCATATTAGTTTGCGCATGCATTTCAAAGAGCATGCCTGAGTGGGTATTAGCATGCACATACTTATACATAATTGCAATTTGATCTATTTTCTAGATCTATCGGTATCCAATCATTCACTTATTTATTTACATATTTACTTGATATCATTATTTGGTAGCCATTCAAAATGTAACCTAATTAAAAAAAAAAAAACACCTCTTTTCATTTCATTTCAGCTTTCACACAGTAAATAGTCTGCAAAGCATGCAAACTGCCTCCATGCACCTTTCCACAGCCACCTAGAACTACTTAACTCTGTGCCGTGAATTAAAGGTGTGTGTTCCAACATTTCACCTGCCACAGTGGATAATGGTTAAGTCTTAACCAACACAACGGATCATATCATTTAACTGTCTGATAGCCAGATATGAGTGTACTTCAAAACCACCGATGCATTCAAGACAAAAAATTGTGATAATAATGATATAATTAATATAAGGAACAAGAGCATATGAAAATACATGTCCTTCATATGGTTGGATCTTTGCTTTGATCTTCTCTAAAATATATTTCATGTTAGTTTTTAGTTTGGTTAAAATATTTTCTTTGGCTCCTTTTTCTCATCTTATTTTTGAGAGGGGTGGAGAGTGCGGGAAAGGTAACATTATTTTTCACCTCCCTGTAATGTTTACTTCAACTAAAAGTTAAAGCCTGTCTGCTGATGACGTTAACAAACAGATGAAGCCCTGCCAACTCGCACACAATCCTAACATATCCATTTCCCCTAGTGCCAGTTGCCATGGTGACAGGCTTCCTGGAAACCACTAGAAGACACTTAGTTTCTCATCTATCTTATCTTGCATACTTTGAATCCTTAGTCTGCAACTTGGTAGGTAGGCAGATGAAAGTTCACTTTCTTAAGGGCTGGAGCAATATAGAATTCTATAACGCAAGTGATAACAACAGGCAAAGCTTGGCTGCTTTTGTATTTAATCTTGTCTAATTCTTTTTTATCTCATTTTCAGTAACTTGCAGGTTTATCAAGGTGAAACTGAATTCGCAATTTTACAGTGACATGTCGATATCAATTGTTTATAGAATGATAAATATTTTGTTTGTTTTTTATTTTATTTTTTGTTTTACTAAGGTTTGACAATATCTATTATGATAACAGACATCAACACTTAAACATATCTTTGACCTCCTTTTAGATATTCTATCACAGCAAAGTTAACCCCCATTATGACAAGGTGTCACAGTCACACCAACCACAATCCCACTTCCCATTCGGACTGATTGTCAACATTTGAAAAAATGTCACCTCCAATTAAAAAAAAATCCTGTTATTTAAGACAATCTTACCTTCTAATTAGAAATGCTGCCATCCATTTGGAAACTGTGTCACAGAAAACAATGCTATTTGTTTAGGGTACTTGCCATTAGTAGAACAATGTTGCCTCTTTTAAACACACACACTCACACTTAACACAATATCACACCTAACACATTGTCACAAATAACCAAATCACACCAATCACATTGTCACACCTAACACACTGTCACACCTAACACACTGTCACACATAAAAAATCACACCTAGCACAATGTCACACCTAGCACACTGTTACACCTAACACAATCTCACAAACCCTTCAATGTACCCTCAACCTCACTTTCCCTTTGAAAGTACTTTCACCTACTGAACCCCTGCAGCAGACATGATTTCGGATTGATAGAGAAAAATTAGAAATAAAAGACTCATTGGCATTCCAACCAGGAGCATGGGGGCCAAGAAAAATTCTGATTTTAAAAGAAAATAAAATCATGTCTGCTATAAAGTCCAAGAGAATGCAAGAGATTGAATATAGCTGAAAGAAATGCCACCAAGTTTCAAAGTTCAAAAGGCTCTGATCAAAGGTAGAAAATGGAAAGACTTCCTTCCACTCATACAAGTTCCAGCAAAATGTATAACAGCTCACATTTTAAATAAATGTAAAAAAATATAAACTTTTGAACTAACAACAAGTTCCAAAGCATTATATAACTTAAATGACTCAAATAAATTGGGGTACACTTAGAGGAGGAGATTTAGGCCAAACAATTTTTCAAATAAAAAAAAAATACTATTTCCTAATCACAAGAAATTATAGTTTTTCCATGCACAAGGAGGGCTACCGTTCTGACTGGGTTAAAAAGGAAAAAAAATAAAGCTCTGTGGTTGCAAATAACAGCTGCAAGATGCACAAATATATCTTCTAGTTTTCTAACAGCACATTTATTATCAAAAGTAAACAGTTTTGAATTCATATATGGTCATCTTTACAGTGCAAAACATACAAAGGCAATGTATCGTAAGATCTATTCTAGTACCTATCCAAAAGCATTGCCTCAGGGCTGCATGCAATCAAATTCACTCCATGCTACTTGACCTCTGACCTATGACATCTGACCCTATTACATCATAAGTGACCTTCTGACCTTTTTTTACCTACCCCTACTAGTTTCTCATCCTGTGAGGAAATGATAAGATATATAAGGAAGAGGATATGTTAGAGTACAAATTATACACAAATGCAGCTCAAAAGTCTTAACCAGAAAAAAAATAAATTTTTGCGTGTACAAGTTCATTCAAAAATGAACAACACTGGACATCAATCAAACACAACTGTCCAGGGAATTAATTGCATCTCAAAATAGAGCTGGATGTGTACTTTAATCTGTTCTGGGAGGTCCAGACAAATTAAGAAAAGAAATCTGAATCTTTATTGATAAATTTGTCCTCCAGAGGCATTTAATGGAAATTTGGGCTGCATAAGATAAAGACAACGTATATCAGTGCAAATAGAAAAGTACAGATTCTGAAGTTCTTATCAGTAAAACTGTTTGGCTCTATTCCCATAGATTTTAGATCGATCTATCCCCGCGGGGAGTCTCACTAGATTACTTTCAGATAATCCGACTTAAATGTCCGTCCCGCCTACTACAAGCTGTAAGGGGGTAATTAACTTTCGTGTCCGCCCGGCTGACAGCTATTTAGCGTGAACCCCCAGGGAGTTAGGTCGATCTCAAGTAGGTCGATCTAATCTATGGAAATGGGGTGTTTGAGACAGAGGATAACTACTTAGTACAATCTTTAAAATATAAACAACAACTGAGACTCACTTATTTTGACAATTGGCCGTGACTAATTATGACAACTCTCTTTAAGTATTGAAAAAAGAAAAAAAAGAACAATACTATGTTTTCACACTGCAGTGCCTACATAACAATAACATGACTGGCACATGACTATCATGTGACAAATTTAAAAGCAATAACAACAACAAAGAAAAAGAACAGAAATGACAAAGGATGTTCCCCTGTGAATATCATACAAAATGACCTGGTCAGAAAGAAACAGTGCATTAAGTAATACATTTCTCTCTTGCACCAATGGCTCTAAGGCATTAAAATATACTTTATTACTGATATGATATTTCTTGACAAAAAATCTCTATTAATGAGAGAAATATACTCACGGTGACCATGTCATCAGCCACAAAGTACTTGGACAGATCCTGTACACTATCAATAAACTGTCTGAAAATATGGAACAACTTGATTAAATTGGGTTCTAAAACTTGGGAATATGTTAATTAAAGCAAGTTCTTCTTTCTTTAAATTTGTTTTTGCTAGTAAAAATGTACTTATGCTACCTATTTTTTTTTGTCTTATACAGATCATGTATAAATATAGGATTCAAAAAGAGAAAGAATGATTATGTAAAATATATCCATGTAACAGTGTAGACCATACAAAACAACGCAAATCAAACTCTCCTCCCTCTGAGAGAGAGAGAGAGAGAGAGAGAGAGAGAGAGAGAGAGAGAGAGTCCATACTTGTTTGTCTGGTTAAACACCTTCCCTGCATCTATCATAGCGCCACACATCTTCACTAGCTATAATTAAAAAAATTATATCAATAATTAATACCTGCAATAATTTGTGTGTGTGTGTGTGTGTGTGTGTGTGTGTGTGTGCGCGTGCAATTTTTGTAAATTATTTCAAGTTCAACTAAAACCCATTTCAATAATGAAATCTTATTAAAAATCAGGGCTTGATTATCACATATTGTCAACAAAGAAATACCTGAATATCATGGGTTTCTACAAAACACAGGTTATATTTAACCAACGGAGCAACTCACCCTTTCTAACTTGGCCTCCAGAGTATCAATATCTGTCTCTGCATCCTCTAGAGCAGCCCTGAAAATAGCAATTAATCCTTTTCATCATTAATTTAAAAAAAATGAAATCATTCATTTTTCAAAATCAATTTACAAATCATTCCTCAGATTTTACAGGGGTAGAATACAATCAAATTTCTTCAAAATGATTTTTTAAAATGATGCCTAAATTGACTTTTTAAACTTTTTCTTTCCTTAACAAAAGTCAAAGTACGAGTAGACTAAAATCTTTGGTCCTGAAGACCTTTCGGTCATTAGCTATTTTAGAAAACTGTTCCTAGTCTAAAATATACACATCTATCCTATACATGTAAGCAGTTATTTCCCATAATCTTATCATACTAACAGGATCGGTCCATCTTGGGTGCAGTCAATGTAATCAAATTAATTGTCTTAACCCCTCGCAAAGCAACACAACACCATGGACCAAAAAGTTTTCCAGACCTCATCCAAGTACTTTAAGTTTCCAGGGGGCGCGCCAGACTTTTAAGCTGCTTAAACTGAATGTAGTTTAGCGAGAATCCCCCAGGAGTTAGATCGACCCAGATAGTATGATAAGATTATGGGAACTGTCCCTATGATGTACTCTATACATCTCTCCTATACACAGTTACTGTGACACTAAACAGAAGCACCTGTGTTTATTTACTCCAGGTAAATCTCGGGGAAAACTGAGGCACTTCCTCCCTAAAAATATCCAGCTCAGGTAAGTAAGCCCCACAGCTGGCGTCTGGCCCTTTTTCATTATTCATGTCATGGCCTTCAAATATACCGTTATTGAAAAAAACATGGTTACTTGTTCTTCATTATTCAAGGAAATGATCTAAATTTTCATCTGTGTTGCAATCATCCACATTGGGGCCTCTGGTTGATGTAAAGTAAATGGGAACATGGATATTGAAAGCAGGGTTCTCAGACAGATAGCACTGTTAGGTATGGAGCAATGCTTTGACGTTNAGCGCTAACGCTGGTGGTACAATAATTTAATCTTAATAAAAATCAGGGCTTGATTATCACATATTGTCAACAAAGAAATACCTTGAATATCATGGGTTTCTACAAAACACAGGTTATATTTAACCAACAGAGCAACTCACCCTTTCTAACTTGGCCTCCAGAGTATCAATATCTGTCTCTGCATCCTCTAGAGCAGCCCTGAAAATAGCAATTAATCCTTTTCATCATTAATTTTAAAAAAAATGAAATTATTCATTTTTCAAAATCAATTTACAAATCATTCCTCAGATTTTACAGGGGTAGAATACAATCAAATTTCTTCAAAATGATTTTTTAAAATGATGCCTAAATTGACTTTTTAAACTTCTTCTTTCCTTAACAAAAGTCAAAGTACGAGTAGACTAAAATCTTTGGTCCTGAAGACCTTTCGGTCATTAGCTATTTTAGAAAACTGTTCCTAGTCTAAAATATACACATCTATCCTGTACTTGTAAGCAGTTATTTCCCATAATCTTATCATACTAGCAGGATCGGTCCATCTTGGGTGCAGTCAATGTAATCAAATTAATTGTCTGGCTTAACCCCTCGCAAAGCAACACAACACCATGGACCAAAAAGTTTTCCAGACCTCATCCAAGTACTTTAAGTTTCCAGGGGGCGCGCCAGACTTTTAAGCTGCTTAAACTGAATGTAGTTTAGCGAGAATCCCCCAGGAGTTAGATCGACCCAGCTAGTATGATAAGATTATGGGAACTGTCCCTATGATGTACTCTATACATCTCTCCTATACACAGTTACTGTGACACTAAACAGAAGCACCTGTGTTTATTTACTCCAGGTAAATCTCGGGGAAAACTGAGGCACTTCCTCCCTAAAAATATCCAGCTCAGGTAAGTAAGCCCCACAGCTGGCGTCTGGCCCTTTTTCATTATTCATGTCATGGCCTTCAAATATACCGTTATTGAAAAAAACATGGTTACTTGTTCTTCATTATTCAAGGAAATGATCTAAATTTTCATCTGTGTTGCAATCATCCACATTGGGGCCTCTGGTTGATGTAAAGTAAATGGGAACATGGATATTGAAAGCAGGGTTCTCAGACAGATAGCACTGTTAGGTATGGAGCAATGCTTTGACGTTATTTTAAGAAGTTTACATGGACTTTAAAGATATATCTTGCTTTTGATGATGCCTATCACGATGATGCAATTTAAAGCTGAATTTATTCAATTTTCAATCGCAGGGATCTTGGGCTGCTTATTCAACACAGAAATTGACATATTTTGCTAAAAACTTTTAAGCAGTTAATATCCATAATTATTCCTGAACATATTGATCAAACAGGTTTGAGAGTGAGCATGGATGTTACACAACTGTCTGCTATGGCCTCGTAGAAGTAAGTTTGAGAACACGACTATTTATCTATTTTGACGTAAGACAAGTAAAGGCACACCATGCTCTCCTGAAGAAGCTATAAACAAAGTCTTAGAATGTTTTCATCCAGGTTAAATCCCAAGTACCACTGGAAAAAAACGACTCTGCCCAGAAATTGAAGAACATTTCACTGGCAATTATCCAAAATAACCAGGAAGAAATGACTCTGCTTGTTCTGCGAAAATGTAGAAAAAGACACAACTTGTACTAAGAAATTATCCATACTAGTAATATGAAAACGAAAGCTCCTCTGGGCATTGAGTAGAATATAGAAAAGCTGGTGATTGAAAGAGTAAGCTGAAACAAGAGGCGTGTTAGTCTGTTAATCTGATTGTATTTAGAGATCCCCAGTGGAGTTAGTACACAGTAGCTAGTATGATAGATTCATTGTGACCCCACCCACAGAAATATTGGAGTCTTCATACTGATTTTTTTTATCATATTTTATATAATTTTTATCTTATTTTTATTTATTTATTTTATTTATTTTTGCTGTTGTGTGAAGAATTAATGTGAAGCAAAACACTGCCATAAAAGGTAAAAATTCTCAAAATCCAATCAGTTAACTTAACCTATCAAAATGTCAATTACAGGCAACTGAAAAGTGAGGCACAATTTCCACAATGACTATCTCTTGGAAAAAGCAATATCAACCTGGTCTCAAGATACCTCCGGAAATCTGAATCCAGGGAATCTACTTTACTCATTACTTGGAACAGTACATTTATCTACCCACTGCGTTCTGTGGACAAGCATTCAAATCAATATTTGGCACAACATAAATCATCTGGGCCAGGAAAATATTTAACTCCTTAGTATGTACCATCTACAGTATATGTTTGACTTGAAATTTGATTTGGCTAATTTTTTTTCTTCTTTTTATTCTTCCTGTAATTCTTAAAATAAAGCAAATGTTGTACCAGGCGAGCTCATTTACTAGTGTATTCCTAAATTGATAAAATTAACTTCTATCAGGCTGATGAAAAGAATATTGATTCTTTAACATTCTATAATCTATATAGTAGTTATCATTTTTTTTTTTTGTTTTTTGTTTCTTTTTCATTCCTGGATAAACCAAGGACATTGTTCTGGACAAGTTCTGCAATATTCCTAGCCTTCTAAAATGGACTCCTTAATTGCACAGCGTGGGCAGCCAACTGGCAAAGATTGCACATTTTCATGTCTGATGGCATTCCAAGAAATCTGAATCCAGGAAATCTGTTCATGACTATGAATGATTAATGATAAAGCACATCATGATACAGACATGGTTTTGGGTTATAAGAAAAAAAAAACAGGATTATGTGACTCCCTACATTATATAACCCTGGGACCTGGGGTGGGGTGGGGGGTGGGGGGTGCTTTAGGTAGTAAACTGCCGAGGGAAAAAATCAGATTTCTGATTTAAGTCAGAAAAAAATCATGTCTGACGAAAATGAGTCTTGAGAGTTGCTCATATTCTTTTATCAGAAATGCTAACAACTCCGGCTAGTGACAGTTAACATGGGCACAAGAAGAGCTTCTAACTGACTATAGCAATAATACTTAATGCATTTTTCTTCTCTCAAATTTTGTATTTCCACTTGAATTTCTCCTTGTATCAGTGGTTTTCAGATGTTGCATTATATGTTCACGAGAATATTTCCATACCCCTGAGCACCAGCGCCATGAAAAGATATCACACATTGAACTGCAATATCATGCCAGTCTTATATATATCAGAATGATGTGTACATTATACCCAATTACTTTAGAAATACCACAGCATCTACCAATCAAACAGCAGGCATTTCTAGCATAAAGAGCATGTAAACAAGAAAGTACTGTTACTCTCTAGGAAATGCTGACATAACTTGTAACAGACCACATCTGAAACTGCTATCAGTTAAACCCCCTTTACACTGGACGGCGTCCTTTCTGCGACCATGAAACTGGCATGGCTGTGGTCGTAGAAATGAGGAACAAGCATCGCTTTGGTTGCAGAATGAATGCTCAATGATCAGCCAGTTGTCGGCACACAAAAACATTTTTTTTACTCCCAAACAGGGCCGTACCACGGGGTGCAGAAAGGATGCCGTCCAGTGTGTAAAAGGGGCTTAGCAGGGAATGAGACCACTGGAATGGCACACAGCTGTGACAGCCAGGCAAGGACAAACTCTGTCTAAACTGTGTTTTCAAAATCAGCTCAGGCTCTTGAGCCCAAATAAAACTTGAATCACAGATCTATGACAGTAATAGGTTTTAAATTGGGTTAGAACGGCATGCCCCTTCAGCACACTTCAGTTAACTTGATTCACCTATACTGCCCAGTAATTATGGTACATCTGAGTCTCTTTAGAATTCCATTATCATAATAGTGTCCACCTGGAGAGTGGGTTGAGCCCCGCACTCCTAAGTTACAGTATTCCAGTATGATAAAATGGGGAAGAGAACAGGCACAAATTAATAATTTCCCCTGACTTGCTTTCATTTCCTCACAGTATGCAGCCTCTGGATTTACAGCTAATGTCCGCTGTTCACGTTTAAGTTGCAATGTTTCTAAGGGCATTTCCTGGGGCTGCGCATGCAGGTGTGGTAAAAAAATAACAATAATAAATACAACAAATTTTCATTTTCAGATTGTTTTTCACTGTACATGCCAGACATCAAAAACCCAGAAATTCCCCTCCAAGTGGGCTGTTCACATCTTTTATTCCCTTGAGCTTTATAAGCAATTGTGTTTTCTCACCATCAAAAAAAAAAATGTACTTCTAGCCACAAAGCCAAATGCATAGCTTTTCATAACTACCGAATCCACATTTTTAAAAAATTACAAAAAAATTGTTTTGGAGAAAATCATCAATTCATGGTGTCCAAACTTAACAAGCAATTACTGTACATGAGCAATCAGCAACCGCCCACCCTTGGTAGAAATTACAGAATGATACAGGCCCACAGAATATAGGACATCACTTGCTGCACCTCATTAAATTGCCCCATAGATAATGTTGGCACAGATAATATAGTGGCCTATCCATATAATGATATACATTTTGCAGTCTAGATGGGGAAATTAATGGGAATGAGATATGCAGGCAAATGAAGCTTGCAGTGTAGTCAAGGCCTACTGTATACATTGTCAGGAACCCAAGGTGTTACATAAGATGTTCATATTATGGACATGTTTACCAGGAATGAAAGTTAATTATCAATTTTTTTATCTC